TGCGTTCCCCGAAGTAGACGCCGTGCAGATGCGTAAAACACCCAGTTGATACGTGATAGCCCCGGTAGTAGTACTACTACTACCACTACCACTACCACTACAACGACTACTGCTACGACGACGACTACTACTACTACTACTACTGCTACTACCGCCTTTGGAGTAGACGGTCCAGGTGGCCTGATTTTGGTTCTGGGGGGCTACACACTAATCACTAATCACACACAAACCTTGTTGGTACAGTTAAGGCTCTTGTGATTTGCAAGCACTGTCTTGCCCACTGTGAACAAGAAGTCCCCATCTCTGAGCCCACAGTTCCCAAACCCAAGTTCAACTGGATGTTTTCCCTCTTGAGTTTTCCGACACACCGTTGCGCACAAGTAGTCAACATCACCGACGAAGCCAGCTTTGTCGAGCTCATCCACCAACATCTGCCTGCGTGCCCCATCAGGTGTTCCTACATCAGAGGAGAATTGGCGGAAGACATCTGCCTTGTGTACTTGTTGGGGATGTTCCTCGGTTCCGATCGCGTGCAATAGACCACAGAGCACAATTTCGGGCTAGTGTGTCCGGACATGCTGAGCAACGTGCCGCAGCATCACCTGGAGGTTATGTCCACGAACGGACTGCCGTTGAGGTATTATTTCAATCCGAGGCCGCGGCCGTCGTGTAGCTTTGATCATCCTCCTCCTGTCATGAGCAGGACAACAGCACTTGTGCAGGCTTCGCGTTCCCATGTTAGGTAGTGTTGTGCAGTCGACGTCCTTGGGTTTTCTGTTGGCCTTCTTCGCCGCTGCCTTCATCTAAATGGCCAGAAGTTCCCTACACAGAGGACTTCATCAGTAAGACCCCGACCCCTTGGCTCGAAGATGTTGCAGCTTGCACGGGTGTGCTGGATGCCTCGGAAGCTCATAGCAGCTAATCATTGCTTGCTCATCACGACTGTTGAGCTTGGCGTGCCTTGATGTTATTTAGAAGGTCCAGCTGCTGCCCGTTGCCAGTGTCGAAGATGCCAAGTCCTGAGGACAGCCGCCTCCCTTGTCGATTCGTTTGCACAACACAGCTGCTCGCCTTTGCCCTGCGGTAGCTGCTGCAGCTGTTCTCCACCACTCGACCTAGGTCGCAACGCAGGGCAGCATGAGCGCAACAAGCTGGTGGGCATCCCCCTCTCTTCCACATGCGGAGTTGCAAGAACACTGGGAATTCTGGATCCGTTTCATTTTGTTGGGACGGTTGCCCATGGACAACAAAGCGATCTGTTTGTGCAAGCTCTAGACAAGCGGCAGGCAACAGAGGTAAGCGACTGACCCGCTCATCTGGGGCTGCCAAACTGCCGTGCCTTGGAGCACGGCAAACCGACCGTCGAGCAGTCGCGTCGTACTGCACGGGAGGACAAGGACTGCCTGCCTTCCAAGAAGCTGCCACCTTTGGGCAGAAACAATACGGCTCCGCAACAGAAACGACTATGACAGAGGTCTACTTGCGGTGTGAAGAGGTTTCCTGAACGTTTGATGTTGACGATCTACTCCGGATGCGTCTTCAAGCTTCACAGGTCTCTAGAGCCACAGAAACTGCGGGACGTGCGGCCAAGCTCAGGCATAGCTCGTTCAGACTGCACGTGTGGGAACACTGGAAAGAAGTCTGCAGGTGCCTCCACCCCTACGCCCTTCAGATGTTGGTCAAATCGCCAGCTCACCTGGCAAGACAGTAAGACTCTGTACGACTGTACGACTTCAAGGAGATGACTCCAAGACTTGGCCTCCACCGGGAGATCTGGAGCCCTGGAAGCCACTTCGCTCAGAAGCTGAGCAGAGCGTGGCAGCACCTTTGCCAGCAAGGCCGAAGCGAAGCGAAGCGCGCAAGCACAGAGTCGAAAAAGGCCGCGCACCAGTTTCCCCGCGGAGCCCCAAGCAGAAAGCCTGCTGCAACCGGCTCGCCGGCTCGCGCTGGACTGCGGAGTACTGCAAGGCGAGCGCTGAGCCCCAGGCCACCGGCCCAGGTGCGGAGCCAAATCCGCGAGGCAACTGAGAGCAACAGGCGAGAAATCGCAGATCTGAGATCTCTGATCGACCCAAACCTCGGTGGAACTCGGACAGCCCGATCTCGCCAGACATCTTCTGACTCGACTACCTGCACAGCCCGGGTCGACCATGACAGAGAGGTTCACACGAAGAGCAGCATCACCATGCCTTGTGGAATGCCACGCTGACCTTGGACTGCAGTTGCACAGCTCCGTCTTGGTTCGTGCTTCTGCATCGCAAGTGAGAAGTCTGGGCTGCTGGCTCTAGAAAGAGCAGCCAAGCAGTCCACTTCAATCACGGACTGAAGCACATCCACCCAAACCTAGACCAGTGAAGAGTGCCCGGGGAAGTGGCAGAACTGCCCCAAGCTGCAAGGCAGCTTCGCAACTTGAGATATTTAGCCAGCTGTCATTCTAGAACCTCCCTGCCCGAAAAAGGTCTGGTCTGCTTGTGTGAGGGTGCGGGGGCACAAACCATACGTTGCGCCGCCTCTTCTGGAAGCTCACCTGGCAAACACTCCTGCCAAGATAGATGGTCGCAAGTGGCATATGTAGGTCCATTCGACACCATACCGTCCAAGACTTTTTGAATGCAGTTCGAAAATCCTGTGAATTACGCCACCAGAATCGACTGCCACAAAAGTCACGAGCAAGCGGTGCAAATCTCCCAGTTCTCCCATAAGTATGTTTTTGGCATCCCTCTGTCCTTCGAGAGCTCCAGCTCTTTCAGGCCTTCACTGTCATGCTGCGCCGAGTCTGTTTCTGGAAAATTCCCAAGAAGTCGCGTCAAGGAAACACAGAAGTGATGGCCCTCGGCTTTCCTGCCAACGCTGGTGGAGGGCTGACCTGACCATGCTCGGATGAGACAGGAGGAACAAACATCAGCGCAACGAAATTGCTGCAATACAACAGCTTTGGGTGCAAGGCTGAGAAATACAGAACTGGTGAGGAGGGCGGTGCATGTCGCTGGAATCCCACGTACCTCGAGAGCCATGCACCGCGTGGACACGAGCCGATATCGGGGTGCATGGAACTGGCTTGCGCACGGCGACGACGATGGAAGCTTGCCGTCCCTGCTGTTCTCAGCTGGGTTTAGCTCCGGCTCCTCCTGGTCATGCTCGAGTCATGCTCTCTTGCGTCTGCGACTGCAAGCAAGTAACCATTTTGTCCTTGCTGGAGGTTGGAGAGGCATCCATCTCATCTATGCCTCCGATTCTGAGGAGTCTCGAGAACAGCAGCTACACGAAGCGGCAAAGACGGCCTTCATCTGGAAGACTGGCCGGGGCACGCCGACGCAGGAGCCGATCCAGTTGGCCCCGCAGCATCTGAAGTCTTGTCAATCTTCAGAAGAAGGAAAGGGATCACTCAGTCTCAAAAGCTCTAGCGAAACTGACAGATTCCGCAGAAAGCCCGAAGCATGCGCATTCATACTGAAGCAGTTTTGTATTGTGTGGTGCCAGTGGTGTCGTCATGCTTTGGTACTGAAGTTTCTGTAGGTCTTCAGAGCAAGGTGTTATCAGGGCGAAGATGTGGATTTCGGCTTACGGACCCGAGTGTTTATGGCCGGCTGCCTGCGGTGCATGGCGCAAGGAGCCGACGAAGGGGGAGTTTCGTGGGAGCAGCTCTCGCCTGTCTTCCATCTCCTGCAATGCAATACAAGCCGTACCTAGAGTCGCTAACGTAAACTATGCACAGACTCCTCATCTACTAACATAGCTGAAGACATCGGCTTCAGCGAGATGGCCTTTGCCAACATCGCACGATTTTTCACGCTCAGCACATGTGCTGCCCAGGTACTCAGGCCACAGCATTCAATCAGCTGGCTGCTGTGCTTCAAATCTTACAGCCCTGCTCAAGCCATCGAAAACTCGTCGAGAAAGCTGGAACGAGATGGCACCAGTGCGCCTGCCGAGTCGTCGAAATTCTCCTTCCTGCCTCAGCCGAGGCCTGGAAGGATCAGGCAAGGATCGCTCTGAAAACTGGGATTTAAGGCAATCTAAAGCATGGCAGCTGTCCACGAGCCTGTTGCGAAGGATCTGCTCCTTGGATACGGATTGTTACAGGTACCAGAACCCTCAAGGTCAAGTGCAGCTATCTTCAAACATGCCGAGCATCGCTTAGAAAAGTAGACTCGCCGAAGGGCAGGTACAGCACACAAATATTGAGAAGCTGGAGCACCAAAACGGAAAAGCATGATGTCACTGTGCTCGCGTCTCCGGATATCAGCTTCCAAAATAAGTTGTCTGCAGATCGAAAATGAGACAATGAGAAGATGACAGGTCTGTCTGTAGCTTCTGCTGGTTGCAGCAGTAGCTGCCATAAAGCCGGTGACCTGTGCAGTCAGAACTCCTTTCAACACAAAACCCCTAGCAAGTGGAGCAAAATATGGCAGGAGCAATGAAACGCATGTGCTGACCACTCCACCCGAATAGGAAGCAAGCAAGAGCGCATCGGATGCGATGCGAACATGGACGTGGCTAGAGCTCTTCAGATTGGAAGCACTAGGACATGAGGGATTCGAGCATGGGTGCTCTTCATGTCGGATAAAGAGGAAGCCCCAAAATATGGCGAATGCTGTGCCATATTGCTGTCGTTCGCCCAAGCCCACAACATCGAAACCGAGGCGTCGTGGCCATCATCACCATGGTCATCACCGTCATCACCATCATCGTCACCATCTTCATCATGAACCAGTAACATCATCAGATGGCTACTGACACCCTTTTCTTCTCAGCCAGGTCTGAGGTCAACCAAGGCAGCTGGCGAACAGCCTGATGCGAAGAACTTGGGTCGGTGGATGATCACCGCTTCAGGCTTTGCGACATTTGCCACCCCTCCACCCACCTGCCGCAGGATGGACTCATTGACCTCGCGTCCCTGAAGCCTCATGGCCATTGCCAGAGGCTGTCCTAAGACTTGCGATCCCCTGAGGGCCAAGCATGTCCATTAGAACCCGGCTGTAGCGTTCCGAAAGCCTCTGCACAAAAGAGGTTTGCAGGTCGTCGCTTCGGCGCAAACTTCAAGCTCTGTCCTGAATGAAGATCGGAAGGCATCGAGACTTGCCCTGATAAGCAGCGTGGCAATGCGTGGCAACTTGGAACATTCAGCAACGCTTCCACTTCCGTCCTCACAAGGGCATAGCGGCAACAGGACAGGTTGCGCCTCAGTGTCAAGAGAACCACAGAGGCGGAAAGAAACTCTCTGCTCGTGAGTCCGGCGATCCCCAGGCATAGCTCCGAACATCCGCCAGGTCCTGCGCGAAGCAGCGGAAGGCTACGAGGCTTTTGGAGGGCTTCGTCTCGCAGCCTGCGCATCCTTTCCCGGGAAAAGAGCCGGCAAAGCAGAGAGAATTCCAGAAAGCCTGAATGCCGAGACATAACATAAAGCTTGCACGAAGCAAGAGGAATCAACAGTAGACCACAGGCAACCGGCCACTTGCGCAGATTACATCGCACCGCTCTGCAGTTCTCTTGCGAATGTGCGCAAAGATCGAGAGATATTGCCACGAAATGCGGGGCGGCACAAGCTCGATTGAGGTAGAAGATGACAGAGTAATCTTTCGCTACGTGCGTGCTCCTACTCCGTCAGAGACGCTGGTCTCTTTCAGGAGCTCCGGATCAAATGATGAAAACTTGGGAATGGGCGTGTTCGCATCCAACTCACGCAATGGGTCACGGAGCAGATCTGGAAGCTGCAAGGCCAAGCGTGCCTGCCACTGCATCCGTTGTCCATCTTTGCACCTCTATGCCTTGCCGCACTCAACCAGCGTCACTGAGCTTATGGCCTGGAGTCGATCTATGAGATCTCCACACCGGCTGCTCACAGCGAACAGAACAGTGGCCTCCAGGTCCGAATTTCAAACCGATGCTTGCGAGGCAATCCTCCGTGCAGCCACGGGGCACTGTGGTGACCACTACTAGGGTCACTTCCGTGAGCCACCCAAACCAGCCTGGCATGCAGTCATCAGGTGAAGAGAGGCACCAAGACCCACGGCGGGCTAACATCTGCCTTGTCTGCTCCCGCATCCACAGCTGCAACAGCCAGGGTGTGAGTCCGAACATAGCCCCCACAGCATCAACATCCTGGCCGCGGAGACTTGAATCGAGTGGGTTTTACACAAGTTGCTTCCCGTCTCCGACTGGAGCAGCACGTCTGCATGCGTCTGCCAAGCTGAAGCCCGCCTCTTCACGGAGCTCCTGCATCATCTGTCGCAGCAGATGGCTTCCCAGACCCCGTCGCTGCACAGCCTGGGAACGATTCCGTCAAGGTGAGGCCCAAGCATCTAGAAGGGCTTTTGCTAGCTGTGGCAAGCGCAGGGTGAATGCAAAGCCGCATGACCTAGAGAGTCATGCTCTCTAGTTCTCAGTTCGAACTGCCAAACAATGAGCTTCTTACATGCCAGCATGGTACCGCAGACTCAGAGCAGAACACGTGCAAAACGATAGCTTACTGCTTCGCTGAAGCCAGCCTGAGGCAAGACTACCGTGCCCGCTCTGCAACGGACATGCCCGCACATCCGCACCTCGGAGGCGATGGTCTGTGCCATCAGTTGAGGCGGCACTTTCATCTGCCGAAGATAGACAGCCTTGAGTCTCGATGTCTTGAGCACCCTTCCAAAACAGGACCCAGCACCGCCCCAACTAGGCCACCCCACCTCAGCAGTACGCGCGTCGAGAATGGGTTCTTCGATGCCGACGATACCCAAACCGACGACATGCGAGTTGTGGCGCAGAACATACCAGCCTGAGCTTTCCCGTACATGCCGTCTGAGCCCCGTCCCACGTCTGCTCTCGCCAAGTCTCAAAGTGGCTCTCGAATCCGTCCAAGTGGCGAACGTTCGGTGTCTCGAGAAAGCAGCGCAAATCAGACGGCTTTGTCCTCAGAGGTGACGACATCTGAGGGATCGTGACCGTCCGTTGCAAGGAAGTGGACGAGCAAACTGGGAGCTCCACTTGTAGTGACTGCAACGAAGCAAGCCAAAGAGCTCCTCCAGTTGGCGGTCGTTCACCTGCAAAGGCCGGGCCAAGGCCTCAAGGCCGCGACCAAACTTACGAGACGACTTCGCAAGTGCCTCGGCAGACAGATCTTCCTGAAGGTGCTCGAAGGAGACTGTTTCTGACGACGCCCCTCTCGAGACACAAGTTCTCGTGCATGTGACATGTTGAAAATGCTTCACGAGCCTGCGACTTCGGCTGGGGGTGCCGGCTGTGCCTTACGCAATCTTACGCACATCACGGTGAGTCGTAGGATCATGGATGTGCAAGACAAAACCACATCAAGACCCCTCCCACGCGTGCCAACGCCCGTGGAGATGCCGTGCTCCCCTTTCGACACCAGGCAGAGCCGGAACATGCTGCAGATGCGACATGACGAGAACCTTCCTGAATCTCCACCCGGACCTCCCTCCCTTCAGGAGGCAAGTTCCGTTCCTAACAATTACTACATTTGCATAGCCGCATAGCCCTGACGAGTGGGCGCGGTTACATTAAGCTGCCACTGGTCACCAATGCACCTCCTGCTTGTGGGGAGGGCACCCTGGCCACGGCTCAGCATTTAAGAAATACCAGAGAAAGCCTGCAGCTCTCTTAGAGAGAGCGTGGCTTCACTTCAAAATCCCACTAAAAGCGGTCGCGCCCGTCGACCAACGCACCGAGGGCGCCAACGATGCTTGGGCCTAACCTGTTCAGGAAAAGCGAGAGCGAGACAACCTGGACATCACCATGGTGCGAAAACAGAGCCTTCGAATCACCTTCTGAACGAAAACCTGAAAGAAGCGCAGCGTGAGTCCTTGGCAACCCCACAGAAAAAATCTGAAAGCGGCCTAAACCTACCTGCCAACACTCTTCAACCAATGCTTGGCCTCCGACCTTTAGAGGAGTGGTCGCCCATGTCACCTGGGGGGTTAGGATGCCCAGCTTTTTTCAGCTTGGGCTTTATGTGTGACCGGAGAAACCCACATGCCCAGGTCACACTGCAGCTGCTGGGTGTCATCGTAGATGTTCTCAAGCTCGCCTGCGTCCACAAGGGAGACGGGGTTGGTTACAGTCAGAAGGTTGGCACGGCCTGTGAACTTGTGGAAGTTCTTGCGCACCTCAGGCAGGACCTCCCTCAAGTCCTTGAGAAGCCACTTGGTCAGCGCTTGTCAAGCCAGCGATTCACGAGGCTCCTCTGCAAATTCTCGCAAGTCTGAGAAGCGCAGGAAGGTTCGCTGTCCGCGGTGCTGGCCGGTAGAGTACACCTCTGTCCGAGTGGATCTCTGCGAATGCAGCTGTACAAACTACACAATGCCAGGATTGGACATTCACTTGCTGGAACGTGCCTCGAAGACCTCTGTTATCAGCGAGACCTATCGGTTGACGCTACCGCCCTCCCGATACTGTCCAGAGCAAGAGCTGTTTACAAGACCGACCTGAGAGTCTCTCTCTGGCGGTGCTGGGTCGCAATCGTCAGCAGCATGTCTCTTCTCATGCACCTGACTTGCGGCAAAGACAAGCCATGCAATGTGCTCGCCCCTGCCGTGCAGAGTCACATGCTCTCTGTGCGCAGGCCGTCCTTGTGCACGTCGGGAGGCTGACGCGGCGCAGCGGTCACGGACCTGCAACGCTCGAACTTGCAACACTTACGAGTGAAGGGCTATTCCGACAGCCTTGCATCTGCAGCTGCATCCTCAACCTCCACGTGCCCAGGCGGTGGGATCTCCGACTTCGACACGACCAGAGTCACCCCATCTGATGTTCTCCTCGGACTCACATCCAGAAGGCTGCATAAAAGAAGCTGAAACAGAGGTCTGCCTTGCGAAGTGCAAGCCCGCTTCGGAAGCCATGTCCTCCAACGCCTCATGAACTCACAATGTAGAATGTTTCTGCCCCGTTTTCACTGACAAGTTCAGCAATTGGTAGGCACGCGACCGTAAGCTGCATTGAGGTAAGAGGTGGTCCGAGAGTAAGTCTCTCCTTCGGGTCCTTGAGAGCCTGCACATCCACGAAGATCTGCATCTTGCAGAACACGGGTGACTGCTTCAAGTCTGTTCAGCTTCGCACCTGCATTTTGGCTTGTGCAGCTGCGAGGAACTCCCGCAGATTTGCTACCTTCAGCAATCGTGCTCGGCCTGAAAAGCATTGCACAAGACCGCGACAGCAGTACCGTGGCAGGGGAAACTCATACCGGCCTTGTGTTTCCGTCGTTAATCCAAGAGCTGCCGAGGTCTCGTGAACTATGTGCCTCTCCTGCCAATTCTCACGATGCCTAAGACCTGCTACGAAGTCTTCAGTTCCGTGGCCCCCACGGCCCACTGGTGCGGTCTGTACTGGTTAATCCCAGTCATGTTTTTAGTTGATCCGCCGCGGTACCCTGCGAACAAGAGACAAGCATGAACATCCACCCTGTGCTCTGCCATCCCTTCGGATAAGGCTCTGCATCTCCCCCTCTTCCCGTTCCCATCAGCTCGCACAGGTCGAGCCCTGCTCCTTGCTCTTCCCTTTGAACTTATCTCATCGTTATCGTGTTTTTTCTTGTTCCTCCTGGTTGAGCTTGGGCTGGACTGTGAAAGGTCACGACTCTTTAAGAATCAACAGCTTTCGCCCCGGCAGCAACACTCCTGCTCCGACAGAGTCGTGCCGAAGTCTACCACCTTCCGGCCACTGGCCAGCTTGGCACGGGTCCACCAACTTCTCACATAGATCGAAACCAACTCACTGAGCACTCCGCCTCTCCGCCCGCCAGGTGTGCAAGCTGATTGTGCACCTCACGATACTGCCCACCATGTAGCGTTGGCTAGCGAGAATATCTCGCGAGTTGCAGAGGGGTGGTGCAGTGGCCTGCGCCTTGAACTGCTGCAGATTGCAAACCTGCTAGGTTGACAGAATCTGCCCGAGCTCGCGTAAGACGTTGCCACTCTGCAGAACGAGCCTGCAATCCCGAATTGCCGTTTCCACTGACCTTAATGGAAGCCGGTACCCCTGTTGCCGTCCCACCAGCCTCGAGCCGAGATCCGGGCCGAAAGACACATCTCCAAGGCCATGGTGTGCACCTCTCTCTGAGGACTCTGATATACTCTGACAATGGCTGACAGCTGCCATGAGCTCTGATGGCACCAGCTGTCGCTGCGCGGCAGAGAGATTCTCCGACAAGGCCTGCAAAGGCGAAACCGATCTGGAGCGAGGTGGCTATGCCTCTTGGCCGGGCCTTCGACTCCCCCGGCCCAATGTCCAGAAATATCCTCTGCGAAAATCCAACCCCAAGAAAAAAAGGGCAGCAAAGGGCAGCGCTCTTCCAGACTTTACAAAGGCGCCACCACGCCTGCGGAGGTTCTGTGCAAAGTCTCCCAGGTCGTAAGCAACAATTCGTCGCTCGCGACCAAAGCCCTTGCACCACATTTGCAAGTTCCAAACAAGCCCAACAGTGAAAGACTGTGCGTGACGTTGCATTAGATCCGTTGCCTCTGACAGAGTTGTGAGATCCAGCTCTGCAGCAAGTGCATGAACGACCTCAGGACAAAGTTCTCGAGCAATGAAGAAAACCGCATCCCACCACGTCCCATCAAATCAGCGGTTTGGGCTGTGACGAAGCGTTGCGTCCGCTTCAGAGACTGCGGAAACTCCAGACGACTGTGAGTTCCCTGGGCAGAGATATTTGATTACATGGTTCATCGGGGACATTCCCGAGCAACCTCTTCTGACTGCGCTGCGAACCTTGAGCTTCTTCAGCTTGTCGCCGGCTTCGTCGGCGAAATTGCGGAGGTGGCACACCTACAAGCTGCGGCTAACACCAAAGGCTCCAATTAGGGTCGGGTCAGTCACGAAAGTTGAGAGGCCGTTGTTTGCAGAGTGTGGAACACCTGGTCTGACGAAGGATTCGCATTTCGGGGTTCAGGGCTTGTGGGTGTGTTTTGCACCTTCAGGAACTGAGGTGCGCTAATCATTCTGTCTCGCTCAGCATGGTTCAACATGCTACCGGGTTCCTTGGTATCGTCACGTGCCAAGGAGAGCTGAGGCCGGAGCGACGATGGCCGCAGTGTCTCCTCGGGCTCCAGGGTTCAGTGCCACGGTGCCGGAGCGGCCCAGATCAGCCTCAAGGCTGAGGGGCTGCAGCCAAAGCCAACTTAGCCATTTTCTGAGAAACTGTGGACGCTAATGCACAGCTAGGAGGAGCATGCCTTCGACTTGGATGCTGCGTCGCTCTCCTGAGCCGAATGCTCTGTCGATCGCCAAGCACAATTTTCTACAACGTTGAACGGGTTCAGATTTGCTTACAGGTGCCGTAGACGGACTGATGAGATGCCTACCACCGTTCACAAGCAGAAAGAGTTTGCAAACATTTCAGGTTAGGCCATGGGAAATTCGGATTCTGATGCCTGAAACTTGCGGCATGTCATGCTGACAAGATTCACACGACGGGACCCACAAGCCCATCTCATCGGCGATCTCCTTGCATAGCTGGCATAGCTATGGTCCACGAGTCCACAACCACACTACTGCAACGGAAAAGGCAACGAGTCCTCGATTATATCACATTTCTCTTCAGGGAGGAGGCGCTCCGACAGCAACGCTTGCCCTGCTCCACGAGACAAGACGCTTTCTTTGTGGTCGTCCGTCTGCCACTTGGTGAAGGTGTCATTCGCATAAGTCAAGGCATCTCCCACGGCCAAGGAACCCAAAGCACGCTGAGCCCTCTTGCGGAAAAGATCTTCCTCTTCCTTCGAGCGGGCATCCTCATCAGCAGATCTTTCCGCGCTGCATACGAGCTGAACCACAGGAACAGAAAGTCTCCTCGAGCGCCTGCGCTCATTAGGCCCCGGCTGCTCGCAAGGCTTCTGACGGATCGGCCGTTCTGCTTCCAGCTTCTCTGTGCGGCTCTTTACCCGCTGTGTAATAGTGCCCTGCTCTTTGGCAACTTTTTCGAGCAGCTCTAAAAGCCGACCCTCTTCAAGAGCTTCGAAAAAATGGTTCCACTCCTTCCTTGAGACAAAACCGTTCACTGGATTCCCGTCCATCAGGTGGAAGACCTGTGCAGGCTTCATGCCTGTGAGGGTCTCCAGATCTATCCTGAGGAGTACCATGCCTGTGGACCACACCACATGGCTAAACTTACCCTTTCGGTGGGTGTCAAACCAGTTGAACGCACGCTTCAGAGAGCCGTGCTTCAGCATCAAAATGTAGGCGAGCGCTTCGATACCAGCCAGGTTCAGTCTCTTTAAGTCCTGATTAAGCTCATCTTGTTGGAGCACTGCTTCCATGTCTGCGCTGTTGAGTTCGTAAAGGTCGAGCTCGGATGTTGGTGCTGCCAAGGCTTTCAGAAGGTCTTGCGAGACACACGTCGCATCAGTCTCCTGCAAAGGTGGTTGAACGACGACCCCAATGGGAAGCGTCTCCTCTACCTCGCTGTGCTTCGCTCCAGGATCCTCGCCTTCGTTGCTGACTGCCAGCATGGCTGGCTCGCATGGCTCGCATGGCTCTGATCTTCCTGGGACCATCTCCGTCTCTGCCGTGTCGAGGACCTGCCAGGGCAGAGCTGATCCAGCTGGCGCCTCTCTCTTCTTCTCCGAGCCTTTTTCCGCAGGGCGCACAAAGAGGCCAAGGCGAAGCCCTGGCTCTCGCTCATCTATGTACATGTCGAGGCAAAGGCAGGCTGGATTTCAGCTGCCTGCCGCTAGCATACTTTGGAGTTCTCTTCGTTCAACGGCAAGTTCTCATCTTCGTTGGCCTGCCGATGGCCTTTCGCATTTTCAGGATCATCGAAACCCAAGTCTTCAGTTGCACATCCGATTGGAACCATGTCAATAGTGGTGCTGTTCCCAGGCTGCGCTGTGTGCTCCGCCCGCTGCCAGAGTGGACATTGCAGGAGCATCACACATAGCAACAGCGCTGCCGCGGTGACGACGAAGGGGAGCCGTCCCTCTGAAAGCAGTACTCCAACCAATGAGGGTGCGGACACATCCGCCACTTCACTAATCGAGATGGTCCACAGTGCCGGGCCCAGCAAACTTCCGGCAACCCCACCTGCTGCCTGTGCCGAGTTTAGGAGTCCCATGGCCCAGCCTTGTGCATCAGCTGGGACGCACAGCGAGGCAGCAATCTCTATACCGGATGTCAAGACACCAACGAAAACCAAGGAAGGAACTCCGAGAAAAACATGCAATAGGTGTGGCAGCCCCAGAGACTGCTGCCTTGCACCAACGCAAAATCCAAACAATGTGAGGAGTGACAGCCATGCCAGGCCTTGTAGCACCTGCCGCTGTGACATCCTCTGCGTCCAGCTCGGATACATTGCCAGGGCTATGCTGAAAAGCAACGTGTTTGTTGAGGATAGGAAAGCGAAAGATCTCGCCTCCCAACCGAAATGAAACTTAATGTAAATGGGCCACAAGGTCCGGCAAGCTGATTGACAGCAAGAGACTAAACTCAAAGTGCCAGCTGCGACAAGGAAGTCAAAGCTACATCGACTTACACTTTGCTCAACATGTCTCTGTGGCTTCGGATCTGACGGTCTGCCTGCAGTGGAGCAGCCTGCTATAAGAATCACAATCCCGACCCAGCAGAAGATTGCACAGGTTCCAACCTCGGCCCTGTAACGCAGAAGCTTATCCGCAAATCCCAACAGTTGCAATCCCGAGTCGAGCGCAGGATAGAGGAAGCTCCCCAACGTCAACAAGGTCATTTGAGCACGTAGTCCCACAACGAGCAGCGCGCGCTTGCTGTGCGGGAGTTCTGACGCAATGTAGCCCTTTACCATGCTCCACTGGCAACTGCCGCCAATACCCATGAAAAGTTGCGCTGTGATCAAGTGGACGGGTGTACTGGCAATGGCTCTAATGAGGCAGCCAAATCCGCAAGAAAGCGCCGATAGCAGAAGAGGCTTCAGCACTCCACGTGAGTCCACCATCCAGCCATAAATAGGTGACAGGATCATAGAAGCAGTTCCCATGAAGAAGCTTAAGTAACCAATATCCATAACTGTCGCACCCAGCTGCAGGAAAAAGAAGGTGATAACCTGCATCCAGAGGAAACATGACAAGCATCCTGACAAGACAAGAGGGAGCGAACCAGTTGCAGACCAGCTGCCGGGCGATGAATCGAGCTTCCGAAATCAGAGAGCCAGAGCGCCAGCATCAAGGTTCTGCAGGACCAGACAGTGAACCGTCAAAGAGCTCTTGATTGAGCATCACTCGCTTGCACAGCATACAAGACTCTCAAAGAGTCCTGAATCTCGGCTCAGACAGCAGGATGGTGAGGAGCTCTCCTTGGCAGAATAGGCAGGGCATATCCCAGATGAAAGAAATGGTCGTACGATCTCGTGCAAACAAGCGACTCTGCACTCCAATCTGCTCTCGGAGATTCCATCGTGTTCCCAGAGGAGCAGCATCTTTTGCTGTGTCCATGGCCGTCATGGCTTGTCGTATGTGTGTGCGTGCTGTGCCTGCATGATCAAGAACACGTACAACGAGAAAAGAAGCTGGAAATGTGAAATGCAGAAAGGGTGTTGCCGACCGGGAGCTATCAGGCACGTCGTTGCTCCAGCTCGGGTTTCGCGCTTTTCGCTGGCTGAGCGACTCGTAAGGGATCCCGTGCAGCCCCCGTCCACCCCCGAATTTAGAGCCCGTAGCTTGAAGCGCACCAACAATCATACATGCCGTTCTCAAGGCTCCGTGAACTTTGCCAAACCCCATGATGCACGAAGGGGGCCTGGTTGGCAGACTCGCTCAAGAAGGCTTCCGCGCCTTCATTGGCATCCTGGGATGATCCATATCTGACGCAACACGAACCACAACAAAGAACAGCTTGCCATACATTATCTGGACAAGGCCAGCCCTCCAGTGCACAGGCATACTCCCCACCTTTTCGAGTTTATGATGATAAGGGCATTGTGACTGGGGAAGGTTTTCTTGTTGAAGGGTTTACAAGGTTTGTGTCTTGGGTTGCTTGAGGCCTTTTGGTTCAGGGAGGTTTGGGACGACTTCGGGTTTGCGGCAAAGTAGGGTTCTTTCGAGTCTTGCGGGGGTTAGCGTTCAGGGTTAATGGGGGTGTAGGAGATAGATATAGTTCAAGGGTTTCGAGTTTTGGGCTTGGCTGTGGCACGATCCTACCGCTGACTTGGGTTTACAGTGTGAGGTTGTGGGGTTTTGCGCCTTTAGCGCTGGGGTTTTACTGCGACACTTGAGTGAGCTGAAATCTGACAAGCCTATGATGCTGCGGTGGACAGTCTTGGATGCTGCGCGGTCGGCTTGTAATGCTGTCCAAGATGCAGCCTCTGCCTGCGAAGGGCAATCTTGCACCTATCAAGACCACGATAAAAACCGCAAAACCTGCACAGTTCTATGACTCTCCTCCAAGACAATAAGCCAGAATCGGCAACACTACTTGATACATGCACTGCGTGGTTGCACCACCTGCAACTGCGCTGCACCGTTGCGAAGGCTGGCACTCGCTCCGGATTTGCTCGAGGCACGTCCTGCACGACAGAAAGCGAAGCAGGAAACTAGCACTGTGACACCCTTTCTGTCCGCCTTCTTCGCCGTCTTGATTCTCGCTCGCGGTGTTCGCAGCGCCTGACACACCTTCTTTCGACTGCGGATGTCCCCATTGTCCCAAATCCAGTGAGAGTAGCAGACGAAGTCTGAGCGCGCTGCCACATACCGACTTCCTTTCGACATCTTGTCCAGATGGAACCTGCTAGCATTCTGGGCTTTGCTGACATGCGCGGTAGATCCCAACAGCCGCCGGAGCCTTGACGTGAGGTAGTTAAGCCCTGAAACTAGCGACATCCGGCCCTTGACGCGACTCTTGATGGCTGGTCAACTGGGTACCCCACACGAGACCCTGACATTGACGATTGCGAGTAAGCTTGGCAAAGTGATTCCTGGCACACCCCAAACCCTAAAATGGAATGGTGAATAGCACGCCTATCCAGTCTAGGTAAAAGAAATTCTTTCTCGCATGCTGCCTGTGCAGTGCTGTCGTCAAGGAAAGTATCAGAAACTTCACTGGCTGGCATCCGAACATCCCGTCGAGGTTGTAGAAGTCTACACACATGGATTACGACTGTAAGCGTAACACCGCCCGCCTCCGTTGATGCAGAGTCCTGAACCTCACGTACCAGAAACGAGTAGAGAGTTTATGACAGGAACGGAAAAGCTGTAAGATTGGCCTACACTGCAGCCCAAGATGCAACCGGAGCAGAGGCGCTAGCAGTCTCTGCTTGCAAAGGGCATTCCGTCACCTACCACAAAACATGTTCAAATCCACAGAACACATGAGGCCAGAATCGGCAACCCTACTTGACACACGCACTGCGTGGTTGCACTACCTGCAACTGCGCGGCGCCATTGCGAAGGCTGGCACTCGCTCCGGA